CATTCTTCAGCATCCTCTGCAGCTCCTCTCACTTGCACTGTGAAGGTTACTTTTCTGCTTGCCTTGGTGGTATGGTGGGATCTTCTAAGAATAAAATAAGCCTGACTAGTGCGGCGCTTTTTTTTTTCCTTTTCTTTTTTTTTTTTTCCTCCTGGGTCCAAGATTTGCTTTATAATAAACCATTTCCTACTAGTTGATCTTGAAAATTACATGCAAGAACTTCGAGTTGATCATGAGACCCGAAAACCGTAGTTACTCTTTCCTTATAGTAAAAGTTTTTGAACGGAGTTTACAGATGCTTTGTAAATAGTTTAATCTAAAAATAGTCTGATAATACTTTATTAGTCACCCATGTCCATCTGTCACCCTTCCTGCTTTTTGAGTGGGCGATTAGATTATTTCCTAAAGAAGAGTAGTCTGACAAGTGTTTGTACAGAGAGCAACCACTCAAAAATACTAGTGTGAATAAAAATGGGTGTTATGGTGGATGGAGTTAACACATATTTGGACATCAAAATATGTTTGCTTATACGTCACTGTTTTATTGTTAGATGCATAAAATTATTATTAGTATGTAAAGAAAATCGCTGAAATGTAGGAGAGCATGGATTTTTTGGGGGTATGTTTTCATTTGATTTTTGAAGATGGAAGACTTCTCTTGAATATTGCACTAGGAAGACTTCTATTATGTACGTTGTCAAATGTTGCCGGCAACTAGTATGAGCTGTTTTTTTTAAATCTCTGAGTTCATTGTAGAAGTTGGTAACTATCTGAGTGCATAGGCACGCCGGTGTACATAAATGGAGTTTTGTAGTGCAATATGTGTTAGGAAAACAGGATGGTGTGTTTTGTTTGTGTGGAGTGTTTTTGTTTGTTTGTTTGTTTGTTTTTCCTACTTCACAGTGGATGTAACCATTTTGGAAGTCAAACTGCTGGAATGTTGATTTTTGTTTGGGGCTTTTCAGAGTGTTTAGAAGTCAGTAGCTGAGGTTTATTTCCAGAAGAACTTTGGCATGGGCAGAAGATGCTGTAAGCTGCCTACTTTGCCTAGTTAACTACCGAAAGCTTTTTCTGGAGAGCTAAGGCAAAATCCAGACATCAGGATTTTTATACACAGGTGGTTTTGTGTGTTTGTGCGCCTGCTGAATGGGTGCTACTGTCTAGAGGTCTAATGGTATAAGTGTTCATTCAGCAGGCTTATTTGTTCAAAGGTCTGTGTTTCAGGCTCCCCGCAGGAGCAGTTTGTGTGATGTGGGTAGTGACAGGATACATGCAAAACCCCAGCTCTCAGTGCTCTTCTGTGCCTGAGCACTGCTGCTCTAGGCTGTATACAAATTCAGTGGTAATCACACAACTCCTTGAACAGAGTAGGCTGCGAGAACCGTGAAGGCCCATACTTGATAACGTTTGATTGTGTTAACACCACCGTTTTCAAAATAATAAATATTAATGTTTCCTATTTTGTCTCCTTGTTTCCTTGTCAGCATCACTCTTCTGTGGCAAGAGGCACCTGAAAGGAAAACTTCCGCATATCAATGCACTGCCAATGGTAAGTACCTTTTTAACTGACTAAAAGTGGTATGGTTCCTTCCTGCAGATATACCATAAGCCAACTTGTACTGCAAACGGTATTTTTAGAAGAACTACTTTTTAGGACACAAGTGGATTATTTTGATTTTTTTAAGAAACATCTAGACCATTATTCTGTTTGACAAAAACATTACTATTGCACCTGGATTTTATCCTGTGAAAAGTAGGGCAGCATGTTAATTCTGAAGTGAGAAGTGGGACTTGACAATAACATAGCTCATCCTGTTGTAACGGGTTTTGCTTCCTCTTTTGGCTAAAAGCCTGTTGGGGGCGAGCTGTAGCCAAGCAGAGTGCTCTGTTGCCCCCACTTGGGTGCTCTCTGCAGTTTGTTTCAGTACTCAGTTTCTCCTGTTTCTTAAAAAAAACAAAAAATCATCTATGCAGCATCAGGTGTATTTTGCTTCAGCACATTTGACAGCATAAGACTAGTGAAGTTAAAATCTTAGCTCCTGTAGAAAGGAGCTTGGTTGATGCAATCTTCTTATTCCATCTCTGGAATTTAATCAATGTTACAGACTATTGGAAGTTTGTATTTGCAGACTGTCTTTATGGTTTACTTATACTTCTTGATAGTTGTGCAGATAGAAAGCAGAGGTGAGGTCTGAAGAGAAGAACTGGAACTTAGTGCTTCAGCTTTGGTCAAATAATCTTTTTTCAGCAGTTTTGGTAGCTTGTGTTGTCACAGTTGATGTGTACAAGAATGGTAACTGCAGCGTTAGCCTTAAGAAATGAATGCATAAAGTGCCAGCCTGAGTTTTGTATTTCGAGCATCTCTAGATCATTGTGCTCAGTACAGAAGTTAAAGGGATACTATTTCTAACCGCTAGCTTTGAAAACTCAATTTGGGATCTGAGAGCTGAGCTGGGTTCCTTTGGTTTGCGTGTGGACATGGATCTAAAGAACATGTAAATAAATTATAGCCTCGCTTACACGTTTGCAACTCCACTGTCTTTGCCCTGTGAGCAAAATGACACTCCAAGAGAGTTTGCTTGGATGTCACTGCTTTACTTTGAAACACAGTAAGCAATTCTGTTGGGCCTTGAAAACATCATGGCGTGAAATGTAATGCAGCATGTATTTTGGCACTAAGTAAAGCAAATATAACTCTGAAATCAGAAGAGCTGCACCAAGTATGTATGTCATTTAATAGTGTGATGTTTAAGCTCGGAGTTGGTATGTGTAAAGTTTATATTGATTCGGGATGAATTTCAGCTGGTGGGAACAGATTTCTTTGAGTGAGAAGGCATCATTTTTACCTGGTTACTTAGCCTGGTATTTTAACTTTCCAAAACTGAAACTAGCAGTGCTCTGAGCCTTTTCTATTATTGCTGAATTTTCATTGTTGTTGTTGACCTTTTTCCAACAACAAGCTACTCTGATTTCTTTTTATTTTCTATTAGTTGAGCATGTTTTTAGTTATGATTTAAAATACAGGTCTGTATTACTGCTTCTCTTAAAAACATGACTCATTCCATATTAACCTAGTCCTTATACTTCATAAAATTTTAAAATACTCAGAGACTGTACTTGAAATGTTACTGCATTTTGTCCCAATTTTCCCCCTACAAATTATATTAGAAATTCAGAATTGCACAGTCTCAAGGGCATGCTAGTTGTTACAGTGTTCATAAAACATACTCAACTGTTCCTTGTAGTGAAGTGAAATAGTCCCCACTCTTTTCTTTAAGGGCTGCTTTTGTGCTGTAAGTTGTTATATTTTATTATTCTAGAGATTTCTAAACAATTACTCACCTCTTAATTAACTTTGAAACTGTTTGTAGGTTTAAGAGACAAGCTAGACACATTTTTCATCATCCCAAAAGTAATCATAACTTAATCTGGATTATAGTAAAAAAGACTTTATTAGGTTTTTATTATGTTGTTTTTCTCTCTGATGTGTGTAGACAAAGTGTGGGCCAGAGGGTGAGCTGAAAAAAGCAGTTTGTGTTCTCACGAGCAGGACTTGGTTTAATTAGGCTACCCATGTTCAATACATATATTTGAATCAGAAATTCATTTCTGATTCCCCTGAGAAATGATACTAGCATTTTTCATCAGTTTTTTTAATCATGACTGTCAGTTCCATTTCTTAGTACTAAAAAAAGAGAAAAGTAAAACACAGAAGTTGCACATCCTCTTTTGTTTTTTCTTTGCCTTTCTATTTTAAAGGTAATTACAAGATGCTTATTTTTTGCATCATGTATGGTATGTTAACTGATAACTAAATAGGATAAAATATCTGTTACTTCTTAAAATCTTATTGTAAGTGTTGGCAATTTTTTTAAAATAAAATATATATATTGTGATATAGCCTGCTAAAAGAGAGTACATCTGTGTTCAGTGTGTTTAAGTTTTCCTTCTCATTCTTGCAGTCAACTGTAATGTTCCTCAGAGTCTCAAAGGAAAGATGCAAAGGCTTAACAAAAAAGGCCTGTTAAGTGAAGGAAAATTAGTGTATAATGCTACTTTTTCTAGGATTTTGAAGGTTCATTTAGAGGCTGATAACTGGGTACTTAACCCACGTTCAGAAGAATTAACGAATGTGTTGGAAATAAAAATCGAAAGCCCTGGCCCTTTGGCCTAAGCAAAAGATCACGTCAGGGTTTCCACAAAGGCTTTAGCAATTTAATTTTCTTGTTATGTGATGGAACAGGTGGCTTACCTGAGAGAGATTTTTCCATTGTAGCTTGCAAGGCTTCTCTTGCGAGTTTTAAAGCAAAACAGTTTGCCTTTCTGTCTTCTAGAAGTCATTGAAGCAGGCCTGCCTTTTTGTGTATGTGTGCGTATGCATAAATACGTGTGACAATATATGAGTGTGTTTGTGTGTGCGTATATCTATATGCACATATATATGGATATCTACATATATATAAAAAGGAGCATGCAAAACCCAGGAACTTACAGAAAGCTGGGAGGTACCAGTTTGGGACTCTGATACGACAGCTTGCAGCGATGGATTTAATTTCACAGGAAGTAACCAAAAAAGGGCTGTGAAGGAGTTGAGCAAGAAAGGCAACATCGTGACCTTCGAAGAGGCATCCTGAAAAACGCTATGCCCAAGTTCTCAGCTCCATCTTTTACTACATGGTTAGCGTGACAAAAATCAACACACTGATTGGTTGAAAAGGTCTCCTGCGGAAGAGAATAGACGATGTTATCAGTTATTACAAGCTGACACAGGGAAAGTCTGAGGATACGCAGTGAGCGCAAAGTTACTTAGTCTCCAGGAAAGCGGGATCATCAACAGCTAAGTCATGTCCTCATAGTCTTCAGTGAAATACACGTAGGTGTTTTAAATCCATTCTTTTCAATGCTGTCTACTTTTAGGTGATTATATCATACTGTGTTTTGAAGGTGTAACACACTCATTATGTATTACGTCAACTGTTCTTACATGTAAGAGACTTGTCCTAGAAGAACAACTCTGCAGGTGCTAAGTCTCTTGGGCCAGGAGATTCCATGGTGCAACACTTTAGTGTGATTATCTACCCAGTGGATTTAGCCCAGAAATGGCAAGAATGGTTAGAGCAGCTGGGGAAGACAAATAAGTCACTCCAAAGAAAAAAGGCGTTCATTGAAGGGATTGGAAGATGTCTGCAAAAGCTTCCCCAAGACTACAGTAAGACTTTTTCTTCGAACTCATTTGTGGTGCCTTCTCTAGTGTTGTCCTCTGAGCTTATCACTCCTTAGAAGACAGCTGAAGGAATAAATGAATATAACTGTTAGCCTGTGATTCCACAACAGCTAAACCCATCTAAATGCTGACCTGTCTGTCAGGTTAATCTTCTGCCAATCCATTGTGTTAAAACGTTTTCATGCAGAGGAAGACAAGCAAGGGAGAGGGCAGGAGCCTGCACCCAGAACTGGAGGAGTTGGGATTGGCATGGAAGCCCAGTCTCTGCTGGTGCCTACCAAGTACGGCGGGAATTCCATGCCACTAGCTCCAGAGTTTGCACTGGAATTGCAAAATTGACTTTGTTTCAACATGAGCTGAATATCATCTCACAGCTATAAGTATGTATGAAAGAATATCTGCGAGTGGGCAGATCTTTGAAAGATGGTAAAGCTGAATGTTGATTTTCACTATACTAAGAACAGGGACCCCTGCTTTCAAGAGTTTATGAAACTTGACAATACTTAAGATGTTGGCTGCAAGAAACATGAATTATTGCTTCAAAATAAATAACCCTGCAAGACTAAGGCCCTTACTCTTCAAATACATACACATGTGTGTACATGTAACTTTAAGTGTAGGAATAGTTCTTTTAAGATATAAATAAGGAGCACTCGCGTGCATAAAGCTAACCAAGCTTGAAAGTGCTTTCAACGGTAAGGCCTAAAAGTGCTCATGAAATTTATTGTTGAGGCTGTTGGTTGTACAGTTTACGGAGTACAGCTTTAAAAGGAGAAGAAAAATTTCTAGCAGTTTCTGAAATAGTCTAAGTGACAACACGAAATTTTGGACTGTTCTAGCCCTTCTGAAATCGGCGGATGCTATTATCCATGAAGGAAGGTGAAGTACAATGTATTTTGTCTGATAATCGGTTACGGCTGAACAATTATATTTCAGAGTTTTCATATGTAAGTTCTATTTACTGGATCAGCATGAATTAGCTGATCTAGTGGTATGTGTGTTGAAAAGGAAGTGCTAATAATGTGATAGAGAAGAAAAATTGTGTGGTGTGGTAGTGTGCATACTGTGATAAGCTTTAAAAATTTTATGTACTACTGCATTCTGATCCATTTTTTGAAGGGTTTTTTAATTTTCTGTTTCTTTACAAAAAGCAATTTAAACACACTAGTAAGATCCTTTTCTGCTTCAGAGGGAAAACACCCCTTGCCTCCTTTTTCTACCATTAGTTAAAGTTCACTACTGAATGAATCAACTGAAAGAGAAACTACTGTCCTTAAAAATTTTAAGAAGTGGTGGCTCTGTTTTGAAGTAGCATTTGTCAGAGA